GATTTATGTGCCTGACTCTCCTTAATGCTGGGCCCCATCTCACTTCTCTTTGTATTTGATCCCCAATCCCTGATATGAGGTAGGTGTTCAATAAATATTTGCTGAATCTGGAGGAAGAACTCCCAATTTAGCCAAAAGGAGAACTAAAGATGGCACCACCTTTACCCCCCAGTACTGACCACCCCCCTCTATTCTATAATCAGGTGGAATTCCTTTTGCATCTTCTAGGGCTTCAGGGCTCATTTCCTCCTTCCTGCCCTGCCCTGAAGAGCTGCTTCTGCTGAAAACGGGCACCCTTCCTCCCCACTATGAGGCTATTTCAACACCCCTCTCTTCCCAACATCTTCCCCAAACCTCCCAGCCTACAGGCCTGCGGACCTGGCATGGATGGACAGCGCCCTTACCATCTATGTCACGCCCTCGCACCCACAGGTAATTCAGCTGTGGTGTGTTTACACATGCTACACTTAGACCATGCACTACATGCTTCTTCCAAGACCTTGGTTTGGAGATCCTGGCAGATCTTGCCACATGCATATTCCCCACTGAGGACCAGGAGATGCAAACCAGGAAGCCCGCTCCAAGAACGGGTACTCAGCACACACGCACTTAGTACCTGATCACGCAGAACAGTCAGGAGATAAGATGAGATGCGGGCTTGGCAGGAACTGCTCTAGAAACTGGAGCCTGACATGAAGGAAAAACCTAGGAAGGGAGTTTTGTGAATGTCCTCAGTTACATGGGAGTTGGTCAGTGAGCACCAGCACCAGAGAGAAGGTCTGCAGCTAAAGTGTAAAGTGGAAGCCAGGCCAAAAGGAGGTTCATGCAGAGCTCTTTCATTTAGAGATTTAAACGACACTGTTTCCTCCCTAGAAGTGATTAAGGGCCAGAAAACCTCAAGTCCTTCTGGTCCATTCACCCCAGAACTCTCGGTTTAGAGCCCCATCTGCGAGGGCGTCTGCGGCAGAGCAATAGAAGGCAGAGAAGGGCGCGCTCTCGTGCACCTGACTGCCCACACACGAGGAACCTAGATATAGCTTAATTCGAGAAAGAGCGATTACTAGACAGTTTTCGATACCTACCATAATCATTTCTATTTGAGTCATATCTATTTAAATCTGGGGTTGGCTTCAAACAAATTTGCCTTAACACATGAAAGCTGCTGCAAGCCTTTGGTAGAAATTCTTGCATCAAAGACATTTTCCTAGAGAGGTGAAAAGAGTTGAGGTTCACTGGAAACAACCTTCAATCTGAAAACCAGTCTGGGTGAAACAATGACTTGTTTTCAAAGGCCCTAGACCTCATTAGCAACTTGATAGTTAAGGTGTTTCTGTGACACCAGTGAAATAACCGAAATCACCCACGCTGGACACAATGGCCAGTCCAACTAGGAAATCCTACCCAATGCTTCCAGTTTCATCCCAGGGCACCTGTGAATCCTAAGAAAAGAACTTCAGCTCATTCAATATACAATCAGTCAAGTAGAAGCAGAGCACACTGACACTGAAGATGAAGTCTATACCATTAGAGATGTGTTTTAGGCTATCTTCTCCCTCTGAGATGGTTAAAGGGAAGTGAACGACATACTTGCTTCGTATCTATTGACCATGGATGACAAGGATGTAGCATGTCTGATGTCACACGTCACTAAGAAAACCATGGAGACAGCACTACTGAACACAGAACTCCTTCCAGACAGGCCTGGACATTCAGATGCCACCTGCCTGTCACTGCCACAGACACCATGCACCCCCCTGCCTGCCTCCCCTCCCTCTCTCCATTCAAAGAGATGCTTCAGAGATATTTTCATTATAACAAATAAACTCAAGACACAAAAGAAAATAGGAGAAAAAGTAGAAATCATCCTTCCCATACCCTCCTCCAAACCTCATCCTCTTTTACATGGAATAACCATTCTTAGGAGCCAATGGTGAATGTCCCTGCTTGGATACACACGTCCAGAAATATGGATTTCCATACATGAGTTCACATATACAGAAATACTCATCTCCCTGCTTGGCTATGCAGGTCCAAAAATATGTATTTCCCTGCTTGAGTATGCATGTACAGAAATATGCAACTCTCTGCTTGGGTATGCATGTCCAGAAATACGCATCTCCCTGCTTGGGTACGCACGTTCAGAAATACGCATCTCCTTGCTTGGGTACGCACGTCCAGAAATACGCATCTCCCTGCTTGGGTATGCACAACAGAAATACTCATCTCCCTGCTTGGGTACGCACATACAGAAATACTCATCTCCCTGCTTGGGTACTCACATAGAGAAATACGTATCTCTCTACTTGGGTACGCACTTACAGAAATATGCATCTCCCTGCTTGGGTACTCATGTACAGAAATACGCATCTCTGCTTGGGTACGCACATACAGAAATATGCATCTCTCTGCTTGGGTACGCGTGTCCAGAAACACACATCTCCCTGCTTGGCTATGCACGTCCAGGAATACGCATCTCCCTGCTTGGGTACACACGTCCAGAAATATGCATCTCCCTGCTTGGGTACGCATGTCCAGAAATACGCATCTCCTGCTTGGGTACGCACGTCCAGAAATATGCATCTCCCTGCTTGGGTACGCACGTCCAGAAATATGCATCTCCCTGCTTGGGTACGCATGTCCAGAAATACGCATCTCCTGCTTGGGTACGCAAAAAAGAAGATACTTCTGGGCCTCCAGTGATCTTAAAGTGGGCATGGTAGTTTTAATAGTGCCTGATGCTCCAGTTTCCATTTCTCCCATGTGTGCAACAGACAGGTATTGTTTAATTTTCAAATATGGGTTATTGTGACTACCTGTGAAGTTAAAAATGAATAAAATGATAAGAGCGGCAATGCTAAATACACTATGCTATACAATCTTGGTATAAAACCCCTTATAAAAATATAAGGTCCATGTAAGTATTTACTACCTAGCTAAGGTAGTACTATGCCCAAAGACTAAACAGATGTCTCCAAAATAAATCTTCTCATCCTGTGAAGGAAAAGGGGAATTCTCCCTCCTCTCTCCTCATTCATTCCTTCCTTCCTTCTTCCCTTCCTCTTTCTCTCATTCTTCCTTCTTCCTTCTTCTTTCCTTCTTTCTTTCTCTTTCTCATGGCAGAATTGTCCCTTTAGACTGTGATATAAGGAATAAAAGAACACATAGTATACCGCCGATGAGGGGAACACAGTCTGCCTGCAATTGGTGTCTCTTTATAACTGGTTTCAATCCACCTGCTTACTCTCCAGCCACATGGTTTCCCAGGTGATAAGGACCAGAGCCCTTTCCAATTTCTAACACTGAAAAGCTTGTATCTAGACAGAAGTAAAATGTGAACAGATTTAAGGCCACGTGATACATGAAAGTTTTATTAAATGCCAGGCAATAAGTAGCGAGCCAGCCCGGAGGCTGAGAGTGGAAGGGCATCTATGCAATTTATTAAAATAAAGGAACCTCAAAAGCCTCATCTTTGATGTAAGAGGAAAGTTAATCATCAACCAGTTTTTGCCCCAGTTTAATTACCATCTTAGCCATAGCTATATTTTAAAACAACTGTTGATGATGATTTAAAAAATGGAGAATTGCTCTTTTCAAAGAAACTGTTAAGCTCAAAAAATGTTTTGTTGTTTCCAATAAAAATCATGCTGCAACACAATTACAGCACCTTAGCAAAAACTATGACTAAAACAACAGAAGGAAGTAGGACCCACAGATCTGGAGCAATGAACTGAGTTTGTTCACCACCTATGATTTTTCTGATACTAGACCATTATTAGATCATTTATTATTCTAGTTCTCAATTCTTTTAGCTTGTTTTATCAAAAAATCTGGCAGCTCTGATGGCTAAGAAAATGGATAATTTAAAACAAAAATATTACCTACTTTTGCTATAAATGAATTTCAAATGAAAACGCCTGAATCAGGATTATTTCTTCAGAAAATGCTACCCTCCCTTTCCAACACCTTACCTAAAATAGAAGAATACATATACTTATAACCACACATGCATTATTTTCTAAAAGAGGTAACCTGGGCTCTGTCAAGGCCAATAAACAGAAATGATTTCACCCCTGCCAACAGCTCAAACTGTGCATACAGGGTAAAATTGAGAGGTTTTTGGAATTAGTACGTAAGCAGACACACCCTTATTACCTGAAAGCCTAAAAACAACAACAGCTTCTATACCAGGAGTCTGTGTGCCAGAGCAGCCTGGGAACCACCACGGACAACTGACCTTCTGTTTCTTTTACTCCGGAATCCAAACAGTAGCTTATGAGCTTGAATGGAAAGAAATTAGGAAATGAGCAGCCTGATTTCTTTTGAATTTTTTTTTTTTTTTTGGACAGAGTCTCGCTTTGTTGCCTAGGCTAGAGTGAGTGCCATGGCGTCAGCCTAGCTCACAGCAACCTCAAACTCCTGGGCTCAAGCGATCCTTCTGTTCAGCCTCCCAAGTAGCTGGGACTACAGGCATGAGCCACCATGCCCGCTAATTTTTTTATATAATTTAGTTGGCCATTAGTTTCTTTCTATTTATAGTAGAGACGGGTCTCGCCTCTGCTCAGCGGCTGGTTTCGAACTCCCGACCTCGAGCAATCCACCCGCCTCAGCCTCCCAGAGAGCTAGGATTACAGGCGTGAGCCACCGCGCCCGGCTAATGATTTCTTTTGAATTTTAAAACCAGAGATCATTTTGAAAGGAGTGAAAATGGGTTTTAAATGTCCTTAAAATCCAGAGGGAAATGCAGCATCATCTTATTCCTTGGCATTTAGCCAAGAAGCCAAGCTAGCACTGGAACACACACCTCTGCCACGCTACCAGCAGGGCAGTAACATAAACACGGCCTGAGCACAAATTTGTGCCTCCAGAGATCACAGGAGCACACTGGCATCAGAGGGAAAGTGGTTGCTTTCATTAATGGCATGCGCACTCACTTGGGGTACAGACGAAAAGACACATGTGTGCATGCGTACACACATACACACCCCACAACTCTCTCTTACCTCCAACATAGGCCTGGCACTATCGTGGACAGACAGAATATGTGTCACTTTGTTCTTGCTCAATTGTTCTGCATCTCTGGCATCTGTCATAGAAGAAAGGGGATGACACTTTAATATTTGCAAATTAATTACTCCTAAAGTCTAGCCAAGAAAAAACACAGCGTATTTCTTTCTTAAAACTTCATAACTGACTGTACCTCTAGGAAATTTAGAGCTGTTGCTTTTATGTATTTTGCCTAAGTTTATTTCTGATTGCTACAGCTTTTGATCTAAGTGTTAATCTAAAATTTGACATTAGGCCGGGCGTGGTGGCTCACGCCTGTAATCCTAGCACTTTGGGAGGCCGAGGCGGGCGGATTGCTCAAGGTCAGGAGTTCGAAACCAGCCTCAATTACGAATTCTGGCTTGCTTTTCCATTTGAAATGATAATCATATGTGACCATGATTTTTCCCCCTAAAACATAATATCATGTGCTTCAAAGTTTTGATACAAAGAGTACAGTCCCAAAGGTTTATGTCTCTGGCAGGAAAGACTGTCCTCTGCAGTGTGAGGAAGACCTCAGTGCCAGCCCTGCTCTGCCACTTGCTGCAGGTGACATGAGAAAGTCACCCTGCTGGGTTATGCCCTGCAGGAAGCCAGGATAATGCCACCTGCCTTGCTGGACTCAGAGTCTTACGGGATCAAGGGAGATCAAGGCGTGGGAGTCCAGGCGCGCACCAGAGAAGCGAGCACGTTCTTGTGCTGTCTACCAGCTTTTCTGTCAGCTGAATGTCACAGACCAATGGAATTCCTAGTCATAGCCACGGCCCCAGTCAAATGCCCTGTCACTGCAGATGCCTCCAGATCTTCTGTTGCAAAAAAGGATCTTGCTCTCTGGGCTTCCACAGACTCTGTTTCTACTTGGTTTGGTCACCTGCCCTGAGCCACCAGTTGTTTCTCACTGTCGTGAATATTTATAAAGTAGCCATAATGCACATCTTGATTACAGTACCAAGGGCTCCACCAGGGATGAATGCTCTTCTGTTATCTTAAGTACCTGTTCCCAGCCCGCACAAAATAGGAGCTCACAAATGGAATAATAATTAGTAGCCACTTGTTTCAAAGGGAAGAACCATCTGGAAGGCGGACAGGACACATGAAGAGGGCATTTGCGGCAACAAAACAAAAATGCTGCTAACTGGTCGCTGGTATGCTGGAAAGGCATTTCTTACACCACTAGTCAGAGTGGCAGATGGTACCGCCCTTTCCAGAGCTGATCTGGTGAGACCCAGCAATACCGCTGGAGGACATCAGACAATACTCCTGCTGGCACGAGACTAGAGGCACTGAGGCATGCTGGAGCACCTTTGGCCAGGGAGGGAAGACCGGCTGCGCCCATCAGGCTTACTCACACCAGCTGTGGGGTCCCGGGCAAGTAAGTCCCTGCATGTCTCCCAACTTCCGGGCCTTTGTCCATATTGATGCTGGGATCCCACGTAGCTGGGGATTTCTACATCAACAAAGGAGCAGTAGGCACAGAGATGCAGTCACAGCTTCTCAGAATCTCACCTGTGTTTAGGGTCAACGTCTACAGAGTTCTGAAGGGCCCAGGCTTTCCCATGGCCTTTTCTGAGAGTCGCCACTCTGCGAAGAGTCTGAATCGCCTTGTAGAATACTCTTGTTGAAGTGACAGTAATAGGAGTCTCAGGCCTCTTTCCCATGGCTGACCACCCTCGGCCCATGTCGGCCCGCATTAGAAAAATCTCATCTCATCCAGCAAGGAAGCATCAGTACATACCCATATTGCGTAGCTCCAGTCAGGGTGAGAAGGCAGGCCACTACTCTGGGACGGACTGGAGAACAGTTGCCCTTTTGCCTTTCTGGCTCCCAGGCAGGACGCCAGGAAGAGTAAGAGGACCTTGCGGAGCTAGATTTTGGGAACTTCCTCCCCATCTAAAAAAACTACCCAAATATATGTGACAGTCAGATCTAACCCACCTAAAAGCAACCAAGGCAGAGTCCTGAATTCCTTCCCGTAAGTAAATCAATAAATGGAATAATGGATAAAAATGTCTTCATCGACTATCCTAGCTGGGGTGCACCACTATAGATTGTCATTGGTCACGAACTGGTGACAGGGTGTACACACTATTCATATCACATAAGGTGTAATGGCGGTACAAAACTCGCACACACTTTTCTCGTTCATAATCTAAGGCAGGTTCTCACAATTGCAGGAAGGCAGCTTCAGCCAGCAGTGAGCTCCAGGTGGGTGCTGGTCCTCCCGGCCAGCCAGCCTCAGCTCAGAAGCTGTCCCAGCAGCCTTCTGGCTAAGCCACCCACCCATGAGGCTCACAAAGGGCTCCTCTTATCAGGATCCCCTGATTCCACTAGACACAGTTTAGGGGATCTTTATAGGGGCATGTCCAACAACACACACACGCACACACACACACACACACACACACACAGAGGCACTCCTGCTCAGAAAGGCTTGTCAAAATGTGTCTGCACTGCAGAGGCTTTCAAACTCTTATTCCTCAACTGAACTCGTGAAATCCAGGGGACCTTTAAAGTATGCTAAATTCCCTAAACTCCTTCTTTTCCTAAGGTTATTCATACCCTAGGCCTATTGTTAACAGGTCCATTCTTTGGGAGTCCACAAGATGCCCTGACCTACAACCTCTGATTTTTAGAAACAGATTCAACAATCCGACAACCTTCTCCCACTTAGCCCTCCATGGCAACCGAAGCAGATCTAGAGATTCTAAAAGCCTTTGAAAATTGATGCTAATAACCCCAGGCTTTCAAGCCCATTGAGATGTTCGTTGAATGACCCAAACCAGCAATCTACAAGTGTAGTGCCCACTACTTGGATTCGGTAGCGGCGAGCTCTGCACTGATGATAGGACGAAAACCTTCAGCTTTACACAGTGACCCCGCTCCCTGCTTCCTGTCCAGCCCTGAACTAGACCACCCAGAGTAAGCTAGGGGGCGTTCAACAATAAAAAAAATTTTGAAGATCTCAGAAGAATAGCAGGGCACAGCTCCCTCCCCTCCATTTTGTTCCTTCCCTTTTCAATTAGGGCTCACCACCAGGTGTGGAGCAGCTCACGTGTTGCCTACCCGCACCACTACTCCCCTCTTCTCTGGCACCCGCCCTGTGTCACCTCCAAGGCAGCAGTTTATGGCATAGCAGGGCTGCTAAGGAGCAAGCACATCTTGTTATCCCTGCTGCTCAAAACACACGGCTTCCCTGACTCATCCTCAGACTGAGGTGAAGGTCATGCTTCTGGAACCGAATTGATATCCAAGATCTCTATGAAGACTGCCTTTATGCCTCATGTGTCTATGTATATTGTCTTATATATCTATATAGTATCTGTATATATTCTGTGTCTCTCTGTTGGACTCGATATGTGTCGGCTTTGCTGTTTCTCAACGAATCTTTGTCGGTACGTTTATATATGTGTTCTCTGTTCTCTCTCTCTCTCTTTCTCTTATGTGTGTTCTCTTATTCAGACAATGTGTTTATTGTTTAATTTTTCAGATCTATTCTATATGTGGTGTATTTGGTGAACGTATCTCTGTGTATATCTGTATTATCTACTGTATATAAGGAATGGATAAGATGTTGTATGTAAGTATATCTTCTGTCTTTATCTCTTATTATATGTGTTGTTTTATAACCCTTGTCAAATGTATAATGTATCTCTATGTTATTAGTATTTATACCTAGGCTTAAGGTAGTACTATAGCATAAGACTATAACAGATGTCTCCAATCATAATCTTCTCATCCTGTGGAAGAAAATGGTGAGAATTCTCCCGTCCTCTCTCCTTCATTCATTCCTTCCTTCTTCTTCCCTTCCTCTTTCTCTCATTCTTTCCTTCTTCCTCTTCTTCCTTCTTTCTTCTCTCTTCTCTCATGGCTGATATTGTCTTTAGACTTGTGATAGTAGATGAGAATAATATAGAATATCATATGTGATACCGCCGATGAGGGAACACAGTCTGCCTGCAATTGGTGGTCTCTTTATAATCGTGGTCTTCAAATCTCATCCTGTTACTCCAGCCACATGGTTTCCCAGTGATAAGGACCAGAGCCTTTCCAATTTTAACACTGAAAAGGCTTGTACTCTAGCAGAAGTAAAATGCGTGAAACAGATTTAAGGGCCCACGTGGATACGATGACACAGGTTTTATTAAATGCCAGCAATAAGTTAGCCGAGCCAGCCCGGAGGCTGAGAGTGGGAAGGCATCTATCAATTTACTTAAAATAAAGGAACCTCAAAGCCTCATCTTGATTTAAGAGGAAAGTTAATATCACCAGTTTGCCCAGTTTACATCTACCATCTTAGCATAGCTATATTTTACTAAACGAACTGTTGATGATGATTTAAAAAATGGAGAATTGTCTTTTCAAAAGGAGCAACGTTAAGCTTCAAAAAATGTTTTGTTGTTTCAGAATTAAAACATCATGCTGCAACACAAATTACACGCACCTTAGCAAAGAACTAATGAGCTAAAACAAGCAGAAGGAATAGGACCACAGATCTGGAGCATGAACTCGAGGTGTTTTGTCACCACCTATGATTTTCTGAACTACTGACCATCTATTAGAATCATTTCATTATTCTAGTCTCTCAATTCTTCTTTTAGCCTTCTGTTTATACAAAAAAACTGCATGGCAGCTCTGGGATGGCTAAGAGAAATGGATAATTTAAAACAAAAACTATTACCTACTTCTGTCATTAATATGAAGTTTACAATGAAAACAGCCTGAATCAGGACTTATTTCTTCAGAAAATGCTACCTCCTTTCCAACACCTTAGCCTGAAAATAGGAAAGATATTATACATTATAAACCACACCATGCGATTATTTTCTAAAAAAGAGGGTAACCTGGCTCTGTCAAGTGCCAATAAACAGAAATAGATTTCACCCTGGCAACAGCTCAAACTGTGCATCAGGGTAAAATTGAGAGGTTTTTGGAATTAGTACGTAAGCAGACACACCCTATTACCCTGAAAGCCTAAAACACAACAACAGCTTCTATACCAGGAGTCTGTGTGCCAGAGCAGCCTGGGAAACCACCACGCGA